GCTTGTTGGGCTTTGCTGAAGTTGCTCTTTTCATCTTTGCATCTGACGGTGCAAATCGACAAGAAAGGGCCGTTTAAGGCAGTCTTTCTCAACCTTGGCCACTTTAAGAGGGGTGGACTTCAACTCCCAGAATTCCCCAGCCAGCCATCTCAAAGTGGCCACCCATCTCAAAGTGGCCAAGGTTGAGAAAGACTCCTATAGCTTATCTCAATACATTCTAATCTTCTGGAGCCAGTTTCCTCATCTGGAAAACTTGAAAGTTTTTTCACCCTGAAAGTCTTGGAGTAACCCTTATTAGGGATGATTCAATCTAGAGAGCTTTTTTTTATTATTATTAAATCAGTGTTTCTCAACCTTGGCAGCTTGAAGATGTGTGGACTTCAGTTCCCAGAATTCCCCAGCCAACCATGCTGGCTGGGGAATTCTGGGAGTTGAAGTCCACCCCTCTTAAAGTGGCCAAGGTTGAGAAAGACTGCCTTAAACGGCCCTTTCTTGTCGATTTGCACCGTCAGATGCAAAGATGAAAAGAGCAACTTCAGCAAAGCCCAACAAGCCATTCAGGATTGGTTTTCTCCCATTGATGCCCTGCAATTCTGGATCCAGGGGTGTCCCAAACAGCAGGACAAAGTTCGATAGCCTTCATCTGTTTGATGAGGACAAAGTTGACTTCATTCAAGCTTTAAACAGAACATGGTTCAAAGCAGAGCTGCATAATTATGGATGTAGAAACCCTCGCCCATTTCCTTCATACTTAACCTTTGCTCTCCTAAGTTGAATTTTGAACATCCATTATTAAATAGCGTTTACTGAAACCGGTTTACCCAGGATGCAGTGAAAACGCTCTCCTACCACGCAGTTGGCAAGCCTGACTGTTGTTTAGCAGGGCCCGTGTTCAACACACTGCAGAATTGCACTTGAATTCAAAATTTAATAGTGATCAAAATTTAATAAAGTGAGAGGTGGGGGGGAGAAGATGGGGGGAGACAATACTTTGATCAGCACAAGGAAGAAAAAGCTGCTGTTTCTATGGGAACAGGCCTGGGCAATACTGAACAGGTTGGCAGGGTTAAATTTGCAAGCTACAGAATTAAAAATAACAAGGAAAGCGCGGGCCGTCAAATCCAACACCATTACAACAGGATATGAAAGAAGTAAAGTAACAAGGGCTTTTCACTGAACACATCGACATGATTCACTGATATCTCCCAATCCTTTCAGTGCTGGTGAACAAGATGTTATGAGCCTTGAGAATTCCTCTAACTCATAATAGTTAGAAAATATAGGCCTCGTGAATCTGCAGCATGTGGACTTCACATTGTTATTAACAGTCATGAGATCTTAAAAAAAAAAAACTCAGAGTCACTTTAAAACAATAGGGTTACTACAGAGCAGGCTAGCTTTGGGAAGGTTACTAGATTTGTTTATGACAGGTGTTGCCAAACAGAGGTTTTAGACGGGGATGAATCAATCAGTTACTTGCTGCATTACTCAAGAGGCAAAATCTTAGAGCAGGAATCGTAACGTATGGATGATATGAAGCAGCAAGGTATATTATAATGGTTTAACTACTGAACTTCAGTTCCATCATCGTCTGTGAAGCAATGGTCAAGCTTATGCTCATCTTAGTCGAGCCGTTTCTTAAACTTTTTTCTCTCGGGACCCATCACTTTTAAAAATTATGCAGAACCCCAAAAGAGCTTCTGTTTGTATGGGTTATCCTTATCGATATTTACCGTAATTAAAACTGGCGGCACTCGCCACTTCTCACAATTGTTTGTTTTAATCTTGTATTATTTTTCAATGTAGGCTGGCAAATAATTCTGATTTCATGGACCCCCGAGAGGGTCTTGGGGGAATCCCCCGGGGTCCTAAGGACCACACTTGAAGAAACATTGGTCTAGCCTATGGACAAGATTGTTGTAGTACTAAGGGAAAAGCCAGCTAAGTTATTCTGCATTTGATGGAGGAAAAACAGTCCCCAGATCAGCTTAAGATAGATGAAGGAAGACAATGTGACTATGGGGCCTATGGCAAGCCAAAACACAGACTAAGTTGCATCTGAAAAGCTACATTCCCAATGACTCTACTCAACCAGTTGCTTCTGAAAAGCTACACGTCCCACCAAGGACTAACATCTGCTTGGTGCCTTCCAGCCGGTCACCTGCCCAAGATGCTTTCCCTAATGTGTATGAAGATGCAAGGTTACTGCAAGCAAACACACTTAAAAAAATAACAAATGAAATAACAAAATAAAATTTATTAGAATTAGGAACGCAGTTTCTCCCTCCGATTAGCCTTAACATGGAACAGTCCGCCAGTTACAATGAAGTCTAAGAACAGTTAATTCCACAGCAGGAGGTGCTCTTTAGATGGGGGGAAAAAAGGAGAGAAACTTACAAGCCTTCAGTCTAGCGCAGTCCGTTCCAATAGTCTCACCATCTTAAATGCTGGATTACAGGAGCTTTTTATACACGGAAAGGTTTGCCAAAGAACAGCACTCTTGTCTCACACAATAACTGGTTTCTAATACAGCAGTTGTACTACAACACTTGAGTTAAATGGTTCTGAAAACTTAGACTGTTTTGATACATACACGAGCAATAAAACCCAATGCAGTCAACTCAGTGGAGTAGAAGAGGGCGGGCGTGAGAACGAAGGCCATGTCCGTCCCTGTCCTGTGTGGCGAGAGGCCCCTCATTCAGTCAGCCCGTGGCGAGGCAACACAAACCATAACTTCAGCAGGTTGCACCAACCAAGGTTTGAAAGTGGCCGAGAATTTGCTTTTTTAAAAGAAAGGTCCTATTTGCTTTATCTTCTAAAGGAGAGGAAAGCAAGGGAGGGGAGCATAAGTCTAGGAGTAAGACTCTATAAGAACTTCCGATTCAATGATCTCCAAATCCCGGTTTTAGGAGGCTCCCCTCCCGGCCCCACATTGCATGAGCTCCTGAAATAGAAGATACAGTATAACAATGCATTTATATACAGTTTGTTAAAAAATATAATACAGTAAAGGGGCAATGGCAAAGTATTCAGAAAAGAGCTTAGAATGCAACAAATGTGGGGAACATCATGGCCGTATTCAATGTGGCATTCAAAGAATGACTTGTTCCATCAAGCTAGCTCCAAGCAAGGATGATGAAGAAAATCAACACACACACACACACACACACACACACACACACCCTGACATAATTGCATTGGAAGCACTCAGTCATATCTTGATTGGGAGCGTGCAAAGACGAAGCCGGAGGCGTGGCAGGAAACCTAAACATTCAAACTGTTGGCGCGTTGCAGTTTAATGCAGAATTTCTTGAAGAAATAGTTGCACCTTTCCAAAAGGAACTTTTCTTCCAGGTAGAAATTCACGAAGGT